CAATGCTTCAGGTAGTAGGTGAGTGCTTCCCCAAAACACCAGGAAGGTGTGGGCTGAATCACACCTAGCCTTGAGTATTTGCTGCTTCTGCCTCCATCTTGTCCCTAGTTTTGTTGTTGGAAACTTCATTCTTGCTTGTGCCTGAAGGCTCACATGAGAACTGTGGAGCTGCTAGGAAAGGAACTGGTGTTCCCTTCACATCTTGAGGGGCAGGAGGGTATTTTTTGGATTCTGGATGAAAAATAGGAAAGCTCTTCTCAGTTTCTATGTGTTTATAAACAGCTTTAAAACAAAAAAAAAAAGAACGAGGCAAGATTATGCTGAAGACCAAGAAAGGCTGGCTAGAAGGAAGGGCAAGCCATATAAACCGAGTATGGATCTTTGTCTCTGATCCACATAAGAGGATTCAAGTCTATTATACACTTCTTTGTATCTTAAGATGGAAAATTCATCCTCATAGCTTGTAGGCTGGGGTTTGCTGATGACCCAAAGCCACTGCATACAATGGCTCAGAACCAGGGCTTGGTCTGAGTTGTTCCAAGTGAAAAGTCAGGAGTTTAGCTAAGGGGCCTGTCTTCTACAGATGATCAGGAGATACAGTTTTTCCCTCATCACTTATTAGGTTATGGCATGTAAAACCTCTTTCCCCATGGGAGTTCACTATGATTTTCTAGCTCTCCTCAGGCAGAGTGTAATCCAAGCTGCCATGACAAAGGAGCAACTTAAAAGTACTCCTTTGGCAACATAATCTGTGCAATGCCTCATTCCCTCCTGCAGACTCCCAGCTGCCCTTTCCAATAATAGTCCATTTATGAAGCTGGTACAAGCTTGTTTCTGGACATGCCTCCTGATGGTCATGCTCTCCTCTATCCTGCAGAGAGAGGTTATGTGTTCCTGACCCCAGTGCAAGCCACCAGCCAGGAGGTTGCCTTGGGAGAGAGTCTGAGGCTGCAGGTCCACATTGAGGCTTACCCAAAACTTCTCCACTGGGGCTGGGAGCACACAAACCCCTTGAAGAACTCCGGGACTACCACATTCAAGAGCCAAATGATCTCTGGAAACAACTGGTATGTGCTCTCTCTCTTCTACACTGGCCATGGCATGTTTCCAACAGTGCTTTCCTTGTGAGACAGGCAGACCCCATGCTAGTGGCTCACAGAAAACACTGTGGTTTTAAAGAGGGGAACTGTTCCGCCTTTCTGTCTTCTCTTTCCAGTATTATTAGCAAACCACAGTGAGCAGGTCTGATCAGGTCAAGGAGGACACCACCTCTGTCTAACTTGGCAGCCTTCTCTTTAGAAAACCTTGTGGAAGTCATTATCACGTTTATGGTCGGGCTGTTCTTCCTTGCAGGAAGAAATTGCAGGGGCAGATGAACAGTACAAAAAACTTAATTCCCTCACTGTTCCTCAGACCTGTCCCGTTGTCTGCAGTCTGGAGAGTGTATGTACTGAGCGGCAGTGTATGCCCCATGTCAAGAGAAGCCAGAAACATTGTTATGTGGATAAGACCTAATGGAGGGCACAGCCCTGCTCCTCCAAAGCCTACAGCCAACTGAGGCTAAAAGGACACTGAAAGAAAGAGAATCATTCCATTTGTGGGGAGTTTTGGCAATTCCCCTTTAATTTTCTCAGAAACCAAAAATAATCCACAAGAGGAACTGTGCCACTCAGCAAGCATGATGGCTTTAGGGCAAACTGTTTCTTGCATCGGGATCTGAGAAATGGCCTGGGGGCAGATGGGAGTGGGCACTAGGGACCATGACTTGATGGGCTAAGAAATGGGAGGAATAACTCATTCTGTCAAAGGCAGGAGGACCAGCATCCTCTAGCCCTTCAAAGACAATGATTTAGATGTCAAACTCTGTTCTTTCTGAGCATTCACCCACCCATAGCCTTTCAGAAGTGCTGTGCACTTGGTGGCAAAAGGTCTTTCCTCTAAGGAAGATCAGACCCTCCCTGCTTCCCCTGAAGAAGCAAGTAGCAGATTCCCTTGTGGGCTGGGATTAGTGCTGGGAAGTGTTCACTCACTCCAGGGCCCAGGAAGCAGCAGCATCTCACTGAGCAAAGACTGTATGAGTGCTTGAGTTTCCTCAGCACAGCTTTCGGTGTTTACTCTCTCTGTGTGAGCAGGTA